GTTGGAGGTATTTGGCTGTAGCTCCTTTCCTTATGACCTCATCGAGGTTGCCATTTGCTTGTGGTATTCCCAGGTACTTGTAACTGTCCTCAATGTTTTCTGTGCCGTGCTCATGTATTTATCCATGTGTCCGCTTATCTTAGCCGCTATGATGCCTGACATGAGCTTCCATGTGAAGACCACAGTGGTGCCTGTGGTCATCGGGGCCCTCGGGGCAGTCATCCCCAAACTGGAGCAGTGGCTCAAACAGATCCCAGGAACAACATCAGACATCTCAGTCCAGAAATGTGCAGTTCTAGGCACAGCCAAGATACTGCGCAGAACCCTCAAGCTCCCAGGCCTCTGGTAGAGGACCCGAGCTCAGAGGATGAAAGAGAGAGAGAGAGAGAGAGAGAGAGACCACCCACGGAGGGGGAGAGGGGAATTTTTTATATATATATATAAANTGCTCAACAACAAACCGAGCACACAACAATTTTAAAGAAACAAGTAAAGAATTCTGTTTTTTTGTTGTTGTTGTTTGTCTTGTATTGTTTAAATCACTGTAGACCCAAACCTTTAAAAGGATTTTGCAGATTATTGAAAGAAAAGCTTCCAGTTTGAAAATTATTTTCGGCTTGAACAAAACATAAAAGAATAAAATTCAGCTTATTCTCAGCAATAAAAGCAGAATTTGGGTCCCACATTTTTATTTGCAATATCAATCCAAGTATAACCAATTAATAAAAAGAAGGTTTTCGTTCTCCAAAACCTTTTTCTAAGTAAAAGTCATTTTATTAACCTTATTATCTATGGAATCAAAGAGAAAACAAAAAGTGTTTGATAAAAGAAATACTTTGCAATATTTTCTGCTGAAAGAAGAAGTGTGTGCCTACACACCTTCCTGCCGCAGCAGTAGCCCAGGCCCTGCATGACGGGGTCGATCTCTTGTTCGAACACCTCGGCCAGCTTGGAGCAATACTTGTAAACACGGGACGTTTTGCGATTGTACAGCCAGGCGTTGTTAAACATCAGCCAGATGTCGTCCACGTACTGCCACGGGTCCTGGTACTGACCTGCATCAACACAAATGCCACGAAGACGGAGCAAAACCCCGGCTGGTCAGTTAGTGTGTGATCACTGATAGATCCAGAGTTTTAAATGACTCTGATAAGTAGAAGAACTTTACATTAAAATATAAAGGGAGGGGATCACTCGTTGGTTTGAAGTTTTGCTGTCACTTGATAGGACATACTGAGCTCCGTTTACTGACCAACATTTGACTACACGAAACTTTATTTAGGGGTACCACAGCACAGGGGGGTGAAAGTTCTTACTTCACTGGTCTAAGTTGCCTTGCATCGGTTTATCACTTCAAATCCAAGTAATATGGAGAGACATATAATTTCCGCGGTGCAGAAAGCGCAGACAGAATTTAACAAACAACATGGAATCCACAATTTTCATGTTCAGTGGGGACGAACATGAAAGCTAAGCCAAAACGTTGGCAGTCATCACTTCACTGGAGATGGAAGAAATAAAAATGAACAAAAGGTCCTTTTCTTTAGGGAAGTGTGCATGAGCTTTTACTATTTAGTTTTTGTTTTTTTTTAGTATTATGATCAACTCTAAAGCATTTTAATAAGGGATATTCTCTTACTTTAAGAACAAGGTTCTTTGCTTTGCTCATAATGATCAAAATAGAAAAAAGCTTTTTAACAGCTTGTAAAACCACAGCAGTTTGTTTCATTTGTGATACAAAATAGCAGGAAATGTTGACCTCTTCCCATCGTTATGTTCCATCTTTTTTTCTACTCATTCTGTAATCAAATACTCTTTGGGCTAGTAAATATGGCAAAATTGTAAAAAAAAAAAAAAAAAAAAAAAAAGGAATTTTAAAAAATTCAAGGGAAAAAAAAAGAAATTGGGGGGGGGGAAAAAAAAAAATAGGA